GGGTTTGAACCGCCAGCCGTCTGGTTAGCAGGCAAGTGTCTTAGCCATTATGCTACCAGAGCTCCCGGAATTCCGATTACATGTAGGTTATTCCTTTTGATGGTATCCCACATGAACCTTAGGCTTTCTTCATTTTGTTTTGCTCTTTTTTCTGAGTGATCCCTTTCCAAAGAAGTATTGAGGTATTGCCTTCAATCTCACTAATTCTGTCTTCCATTGATTCAGTTCTACTCCTTTGCCTGTTCAATGTCTTACCTATTTCTGAAAATTTAGTATTAATCTTCTGAATTTTTTATATCATTTCTAATTTTTCATTTATTTTGTCATTTTGTTCTTGTATTGTCTTTCGAAATTGTTCTAGGGTTTTCTCTGTTTTATCCTCAATTTTGTCAGTGTTTTCCTTGATCTGCCTCTCAATTTGTTGAAGATACCTAAATATAATTCTTTTGAATTCCTTATCGAGGTGTTCCAATGCTGTGTCTTCCTCAGGGATGTGTTTTGGGTCTGTATCCTGGTCCCTTGTTTCTCCTGCTTTATCTTGCTTCTTTGAGTGGACTGTGATGCTCTGTTATGTCTGAGGCATTGTGACATTTTTGTGTGTACATTTAATTGGTGATTGTATGTCAGAGTGACTTGCCCACGATTTTCGTTTTCTTTGTTTTGTTTGTATGTTATCTACTTAAGCAGGGTACTGTCCTGTGCTCTTCTGTTCACTAGTTGACAGACAGCACTTGTACCCTCACCACCTGTCTCCTTTCCTGTTGTCAGCCTCTCATATGTCCCTGCTGATCTTGGCAAACAGCCTATTCTTAGGTTTCTGGAATCCGAATGAGAGTGCTATCACTTTAAAATCCAAAATGGCTGCTACTTGTAAAGATTCAAAATGGCTGCACCCTCAGTCACTTTAAATATCCAAATGGCTGCCACGTGTAAACAATCAAAATGGCTGCACCCTCTGGACAGCAGAAAGTCAACAGCTCAGGTTGTCTCCGTCCTTGCTGTTTCCCTTCCTAGTTATAGGCCACCAGCACAGTTGTCTCCGCTGCCCTTGGTGACCAGGGCTGATTTTTAGGTCAATTCTCAGGTCCTAACACCACTTGGTAGCATAGTGCCTAAGGCACTTGACTGCTAACCAGAAGGCTGGAGGTTCAAACCCACCAGCCACTCCTTGGAAGGAAGGTTGGGCAATCTACTTCTGTAGTGATACTGCCTTGGAAACCCAAGGAGGGGTCGCTATGAGTCGGGTCTGATTTGATGGTGCATAACAATAACAACAACAACAACACTTGGAAATATTCAAGCTGTTGGTCCGGTCAGAGTAGCTGACAGTCTGCAGTTCCAATCATCTCTGTACTCACTGTTTTCATTCAGGTTTTTCCACTAGTTGGTCCCTAATCCACTTCTGTATACTTCCTTTCAAAGTTCAGGGCTCCAGGATTATCTTCTGTCTCTCTGTCAATTGGTTTCTCTTTTCTTTGTTGAAGAGCGTCTGTGTTGCTTCTCTGCCTGGTCCTCCATCTTACTGGAAGTCCAGCATCCATTCCTAAAGATCTGAAATCTCATCATTTAAATCAGTTATGGGTGTGAGACTCTGGGTATGATCTACATCCATCCTGGAGCAAGATTCCTCTCCCTCTGTGCATCTATGAAACCTAAAATGTGAGTTATATGCTTCCAAAGTACAATGATGTCAGTGGCTTGGGATAGACACTACCATTACAAACAGGAGAAATTAGAAAGAAAGAAGGTATTACATGTCCAAAGCAAGTTTAGAACCCAGCAGGGCAAATTCCCTTAGATTGTAAGGCTTGAAAATAATTCTCTGTCTTCAAGGCCCACCTGGACAGCTGCCTCAACCCCTCTTCTCTTGTCTCATGCCAGCAGCCCTACCAGCCTCTGAACTGCTTTTGTGATTATCTTTTCCTTTCCTTGAAGGACAACAGATGTTTATAGTCAAGAAGCTCTGTTGGCCCCTTTTCTGCCTATATATTCCCAGTAGTCCAAACAGCTCTATTTTGTCCCCTTCAGTCTAAGCTGACTGAGATGGCTGATTGAATCCGTAAGTCACATGCCTAATCTTTAGCAAATGGCTGTCCAGCTACAACCTTGGTGTCCTTTCCAGAGCATGCTTTTCAATTTTTACAATATGGATAAACCAAAAAAAAAAAAAAAAAAAAAACAACCTCACTGCTGTCGAGTCAAATCCAATTCACAGCAACCCCTCCTTGGGTTTCTGAGGTGATGTCACTGTGGAAGTAGATTGCCCAATCTTCCAAGGAGTGGCTAGTGGCTTTGAACTGCCAGCCTTCTGGTTAGCAGTCAGATGTATTAGGCACTATGCCACCAGAACTCCTACAATATGGATAGGCTGAGAATTTTCCAAATCTTCAAGTTCTTTTCTCTAGAAAACATTCTAACATAATTCACCCAAGTTCTTTGCCATTTTATAATAAGGATTGCTTTTTCCTCCAGTGTCTAATAGCATGTTCATCATTTCCTTTAAGGCTTCACCAGAAGCACATTTAACACATCCACATTCTAGCAACATTTTGTTTGTTAGAAGCTTTCGCTGCAGGTCTCCTCAGTTATTTCTATTCCCTCATCAGAATCAACTTCAATATCCATAATTCTACCAACAATGTCTAATCTCTTCAAGGCAATCTAGGTTTTTACTATCAGGTACCTCTAATCTTTTCCAGTCTCTATCCATTACCCAGGTCTAAAGCCACTTCTACAATTTTAGGTGTGTGTTAAATAGCAGCACTTCACTGCCTAGGACCAAAATCTGTATTTGTTTCCTAAGGTTGCCATAATAAAATACCACAAACTGGGTGACTTATAAGAATAGAAATTTGTCTCCCAGTTCTGGACAGTAGTAGTCAAAATTCAGGGTAGCGGGGTCATGCTTTTCTCTAATGGCTCTAGGAAAAGCTTCTTCTTGTCTCTCAGTTTCTCTACCCCAGTCATTCCTTGGTGTGTAAGTGCATCTTCATATGGCTGTCTTTCCTCTGTCTCTGTGTTTTTTCTTTTTTTAAGAGTCACTTATATTGAATTAGGACCTCTGGTGGCGTAGTGCCTAAGGCATTTGACTGCTAACCAGAAGGCTGGTGGTTCAATCCCACCAGTCACTCCTCAGAAGGAAGGTTAGACAATCTACTTCCATAGTGATACTGCCTCAGAAACCCAAGGAGGGGTCACTATGAGTCGGATCCAACTCCACAGCAATGGTTGAGTTTTTTATATTGAATTAGAACCCATCTTACTCTGGTATGACTTCATGTTAACTGATGACACTGTCAAAGACCCTATTTCCATATAAGGGCATTGTTCTGGTTACCTAGTGCTGCTCTGACAAGAATATACCACAAATGGGATGGCCTTAACAAACAGGAATTTATTCTTACAATTTGGAGGCTTTAAGTCCAAGTTAAAAGTGCAAGGTTCTAGGGGCTGGGTGAAAGCCCCTCAACCTTGAGGTCCAGCTCTGCCTCCTGCTCCCGGCCCACTGGAGCTAGAGGCATTTCTTCACTCAGACAGCTGTTGGCTGCTGAGGCTGAGAAGCCCCAACAAGGTTGACAAGTAGAAAGGCACAATCCCGATGTTACCAAACCACACGGCAGGCCATTAACTTAAGTCCACTGTAAGTCCCAAGGTCGGCAGAGCATAGCAGGCTGCGGAGCAACGACATGGCTACATGCAGGGTCCAAGCGTGCCAAAGGCTAGAGACCATACCCAAAGACTTCTCCTTATATACAGGAAGCAGACCACAT